ACGAATGAATATAGAACTATATGTAAAAAAATTAAATATTTAGATTTTTTTAAACAGAGGGTGTAAGCTTTTCCACCAGTAAAAAAATAAAAAAGCTCATTATGAGATAAAGTTTAAGATAAAAAGGTGCATTGTGAGATACAAAGTCACATTATAGCAAATAAAGTGACTTTAGAAAAATGAAATGGCATTAATGAAAAGTAAAGTCACAATTGTGCAAAATGAACCCATATTGTGAGACATAAGGGTGCTTTGGCACTAGCATTTTGGTGCACACCTTATGTTTGTTTCATTTGGATGATGCAAACTTGCAATACATTTTGCCATGTTCTCCTGTAGTTGTTACCTAGCAGATGCAACTTTTAATATATAAACATATCTCAATTCTGACTCAAATAAGGCCAGTGGGATCCAATGGAAGCAGATAGAGGCAATAGTATAATCCTATACTATACCAAAGGGTAGCAAAGACAGCAGTTTCAGGAACATATTTCTATGACCTTCTTTTTTTTTTGCGACAGTGATGTCTAGACACCTATTTTAAGTAGTAAATTGATTTAAACCTGAAACAAGCTAACGATTCAATTTTTATTGTCGTTCAACATTCGTTTTTAACATAAGAGTAAGCATGGCTGTCGGCGCCAAAAGCCTCGTGGTAGTACATCGACATACATCGCGACTGTGCTCATGCGGCGACTCAACTTCCATTCCCGTCTTGAGGTCCTTTGCCTATCCCACTCCCTTCTCTCCACCCAGTGCTTTTCTGTCATCTCTCTACTGTCCTATCTCAATAATTAAAAAGGCATAAAAAAGAGTAAGTATGGCCATTTTAAACATTTCAGCCATTGTTATTCCAACTGAATTTAAAACCAGAATATAGATCATATATTGAAACAAATTAGTTCACATTTTTAAGAGGGTTACCAACAGTTATGGCCAGGGCTTGGTTAGGAGAATATGTCATTTAAATTTAGACAATTAAAACAGTAAATCATTCCTAACATGCAAATACATCTGTATGCAAATACAGAATTGAATATCAAGTGCCATAAAATAGTAACTGCCAATACATAAAAAATAAAAATAAAAATCCAAGTCCTATAAATGCAGTTCTAAAAAATGTTGTCCTGAAACTGCAGCCTCCGATATTGCAGGATCATGGTGGAGGAGGGAGCAATTGAACTCCAAACAACCAAACAATCATAAGTCAGAAAGTCAGAAAGCAAAGTCATTGTGACATGTGGAGTCACAATGGGAAATATAAAGCTATAAGACAAAAACGTTGTGATAAAGCTGCAATTATGAGATTTAAAGATTGTTTTAGAGATTTTTTTCTTTTTTTTTTTTTTTACTATGAAGCAAAAATAGTTTCCATAGTTTGACACAACATGGAGGAAACATTTTGATATAAAACATATTGACACACCTAAATGTAATGACCTCGGATCACAGTGATTTATCCAGTTAACATTTTTTTTCAGGAATGAGAATATGGTCAGATAAAGTGCACCAATCCTCTTGAGGTCTGTGCATTGCGGTGCATTTGGACAGTTGTTCAGTGTGAGTTTGAAGGCATGACACAAGGATGCCCAAGTGACTGCAGAAGCCAGTGAGGAACCACACCTGTCGAGGACTGGGGGATGTTAGCGAGGGTGAGTAGTGATGACAGAGGGTATGCACTTCAGCTCTTTATATGAAGGTTAGCAGCTGGGACACATACATGCATGTATATCATAATCTACTTTGTGACAAGGTTAATGGTTTATAACAGCCCTGCCCTTACGAAAAAGAAGTTCATTCAAGTGTGCTATTAGTATACTTCTTTTAAACTAAAAAATAGGAAAGTATACTTTCAGTCTACTTTGTATGTACTTCTCAGAAATGTGCTGTATGCACTTCTCAGAAATATACTTAAAATGACATTTAAGTATACCTGACTTATACTTAGTTAGAAAAAGTCTAGATTTATTTGAGCTATACTTGTGCTCCGAAAATGTTTTCATTGTTATACGGTAGGGGGCGCTATTACAAATCTTCTGTACAGAATTTCCAAAACAGGGAAACAGCGAAGAAGAAACCGATAGAACATGCAGCGCCAGGTGGAGCCTGGGGAGAAGGAATGTGATGGAGCATCGAATAATTATTTAAGTAGGAATATTTGTGTATATATGTGTGTAAGAATAGGAAAAGCAAAAACAAGGAATAAATTGATAATAAATAAACCATGACTGCATAACAGCAAAAGTAGGTGGCGATATGCACACAGGATGTAACACGCCAAAAAACGGAAGAAGAAGAAGAAGAAGAAGAAGAAGAAGAAGAAGAAACCGAAACAACAGATGCTTCCACACATATTCTAACACGATCATCAGACATAAAACAGCATCAAAACTGTGTAATGTTATGGAATCAAATGTCGACCCATGAAGAGGTAAAAATGATTGTCAAGCTTTGGGGTGTTGATCGACTTTATCTACGTTTTGATTATCATTCTGAATCCAATTCATAGTCTTACCCCGTTCTTTCTTTTGATGTTTTGTATGTTCAGATAATCATATAACAAAATATATACACATTAATGAATAGGGACATGGTATACTTAAAGTATGATGTAAAGTTAACTTAAAGAAAACTTACAAGTATACTTGCAGTATAAAACTACTAAACTAGCATACTTAATAAAATAAACTTGAAGTATACTTCTTTTTGGTAAGGGTGGCTATACACTCCAGCTGCTGTTTTCACAGAGAAGCTGTTTGAGTGTGATTACATTTCTGCATTTGACCAAAAAGCCACTACAAAATCATCCAAATGCCCAGCATGACATGATTTATCAAAGACTTGTCCACACATTCATATTGCTTATTCTATGGGAAAATAATAATCCACTAGTTTGTCTTGTAGTCTCCATGGGCAGAAGCATAATACTTCTTTCCCTTTGGACCTAATTAATGAAGTAGCGGTGCAGTTGGGGTGGTGAAGGGGTGCCGGAAGACTTGTTGAAGGAGTGAAGAAAAGTGTGTTGTGATTGGCAGGATGAAATGAGCACATTCCTTTTCATTTGAAATGCCTTTTGGAAAGCTTGGTTTGTTATGTTTGGCACAAAGACCCTGAAACTTGAGATTCCCATTAAAACTGATTGAAACTGAGAACCTCCAACACATAATCATTTACATTTAACATTTTTAAAGACTGATTATTTTTAAAGTTATTGATTGAACTTAAAAAATATTACCCTGCGTTTACAGAATTTTTCTACGCATTTTTACCACATCACTTGATGTTCTTTTGATGTGCATTTCAGTTTTGCTTAAGTTTGTGTAAAACTCTAGCTTACACTTAAAACTTGGCATTGTGCACTGCAAATATTGTTTGTTCTTAAGATAAATTGTTTTGATATTCCTTTTTTTTTTAATTGCTGTGGATAAAAGCATTGATTAAATGTAATTGTACTTGAATAAATCTTAATTTGCTTTATACTATTACAGTTACAGTAAAATGTCACAGAAATGTGAAATGAAAAAAAAATGCTGCTTAGCATTTTGTGTGTGTGTGGAAAAAGAGCACATTGGGTTTCTACGGTTTATGTTTTTTTGAGATTACATCATTAGTCCGGTTTATCCAGTTAATGAGATTACCTCATCATATCTCTGTTCCAGACAGTGCGTATATCAGACAGTCTGCCAAAAACAACCTGCCGATATTTATCATGGGAACTCTGTATATCACGAGGGGCTTTAGTGAGTGCTCAAGTTCTTCATTCTCTGTTACTCTGTCTGTTTCCTCGTTTCTTTGTTTCTTTTTGATCTGAAAGTGTCTGGATCCTATTGGTCATGTCAGTTCTGTTGTTACTGGTTGATGTCCTCATATGTGTGTGTGTGTGTAGCGACTCTTTCCCCCTTCTTTAACGGTCATCTTTTCAAAAATAATTTTTCACTTGCCCCAAATTGGCTACACATAGCTTAAAACAAATATGTGTCCATCCTGTTTCATTCTTTTGGAGTCATAGGGGCCTCACAGTGTCACTATTAATTAGACCACATGTTATGTGTGTGTGTGTGTGTGTTCCAGTCCTGTAAGACGGGTCTTTAATGGGTGGATCACTCCACGCTTTACGTTAGTTTCTCTTATTTTATTTCAAGATGTTTGAGTTTTTTTTGTTTGTTTTTTTGAATATTTGAAACTCACAGCCCTGTTTACTAAACATTTTATTCCATCTACAAATCCTGGTTTCCATAAGTATTTTTATGCATTTTATTTTATTTTATTTTCCAGAGGTAGTTTTATGCGTTTTTGTTGTTTTGACACATGCAAACACATACTCACACAAGGATTAATATTGATACAGTACTATCAATGCACTGGAAGCCTACATCCTCTTATGAAAAAGATGTATTCATTATATATTGGTATATTAATTTTCAATGTAATATCGAATAACACCATAAAGTTACATTATAATCAAGCACTTCACCTGTTCTTTAGATAGTAAATATATACAAACAAGTGTACTTTAAAGCACAACAAAATAATATTATTAAAACATAATGATTTAAAATGTACTTTAAAGTAAAACCTTTAGTTTTACATTTTTATGTGATATTTTTACAAATTGCACTTCTAAAAATTGCACTCAAGTGTGTTAAGAAACAGTCATGAAAGTGCACTTTAAGTACACTTAAGTGGACTTTTATTTCATTATTATTATATTATTTGCAAGTATTGTTAAAAATATACTTTTAAGATTTGAAGTATACTACAAGTGCACATTCAATACAATTCTAAACACTTCTTTTTCACAAGTGGTTTGGAAAATAGATGGATGGGCTATTAATGAAACTCTCTTTAAACACACCAATGCATACCCATAATCATGTGTAATGATGCAAAGACAGTATTGTATTTAAGGGACATATTTAATACAGTAGCAGTAGTTAGTTACAGAAATTTCAAAAAATATAACATATTTTCATGAATATAAATCCATTTACACCCCCAAATGTGTCCCCCTCTTCCTTTTTTCCCCAGAGACATTTGTCACCAGCCATCTGTCTGTCTGCCCACCCCCCCAAACCCCGACTCTCTGTCTGCGCTTTAAACTATCTAATCAAGCAGCATCGCCTTTGCACTGGAACACACTCTCACACACACACTGATCAAAAACACACACATTCACATCAGGGAGTTTAACAGAAATTATCATTTTTATATATCCTCTTAACAAGTGCTACAAATACTGAACACATTTCTGAACATTGCAAATTAGGAGAAAAAATAGTATGAAAATACTGTACAATTTGCATCTCTACACCAGTGTATATAGGCTTCAACACAGTCACACACTCTTACAGCAGCACAAGCAAGTTCATCCTCAGTGCAGCATCGTTGTGGTCAGTTTGAATGTTTTTCGAGAAAACTGACCTCCTGTTTGCTTGAATAGTTCTGTGTGCTTATTTTGAGTGTGTCAAAGTCGACGAATAGATGTCAACGAACATGAATTCACACATGCAGACACACAAAGTCACATCATTCCAGCAATTCATCCATGAATACAGTAGAGTACACAAAACTATGAGTGTTATTTACAAACATAGAGCAATATGTTCTCCATCATAAGTCCATCAGTTCACCACATCAGAACGGACCAGCCGTCAATAGATTCCCACCTTTTTAACCCCTTAACCCAATGTTTTTTTTTTTCTTCAACTTCATGTTTTCTGTTCTTCTCATTTCGTTCCCTCACACTTTGGTGGCCAGCGACTGCACCTCCGACTTTTGAGTCTGGGCACTGAGGGTTGAAGACATGGAGCTCATGTGCCCATGCATGGCCTTCTTCAGATTCAGCAGACACAGGCACTGCGAGCGGAAGCGCAGGTCAAAGAAGGCATAGAGGAACGGGTTGAGGCAGCTGTTGACATACGCCAGGCATGTGGCGTACGGATGAGCCAGAAGCAGAAAGTTTAGGAAGCCGCATGAGGTGGGCGCCAGGTCTAGATATGACAGCGCATCCATGCTCTTCAGCACATGGAAAGGTGTCCAGCAGAAAGCAAAAACCACTACCAAGGTAGTGATGATCTTCAGGAGACGACGCTTCTTCTGGTCTTCCTTGCGCAGGTGGCTGAAATGCCGGGTGACTGTGCAGCCGATGAAGCAGTAGCAGATGGTCATGGCCAAGAAAGGCAGGAGAAAACCAAGAGCGGAGGACGAAAGACTCAGACCTGCAATCCAAAGGGATTCGTGATGCTGATTGAGAGTGACCAGGCTGAAGTCCATCGCACAGGTGGTGCGGTTGTTCCCGGCGTCATTCACCGTAGTGCGGAACAGGAGAGTTGGCACGGCCAGCAGGCACGAGAGGAACCAGATGGCACCCAGCGACGCCAGCATGGTGGCCCGGGACCGGAGCCGCCCGCTGGACAGAGAGTGGACGATGGCAAGGTAGCGGTCAAAACTCAGGCAGGTCAGGCAGAAGACGCTTGCGTACATGTTGACAAGCACCACATAACTGCTGATCTTGCAGAGAGCCACGCCGAACGGCCAGTGGTAACCCAGCGCGGTGTACACAGCCCACAGCGGCAGCGTGATGACGAACGTCAGGTCCGCGAGCGCCAGGTTACCGATGTAAACGTCTGCCGCGCGCCGTTTGGATTTGGCGCGCCAGACGGTGAAGATTACCACGCCGTTCCCGGAGAGCCCGAGGATGAAAATGAGCATGTACAGCACGGGAATGAGAGAATAAGACGGCTCCCACTCTGAGTAGTCGCACGCAGTCTCGTTATCTTCATAGTAGTCGTACGAGTCAGCGTATTCCGGCGTTGGCTCCATTTGGTGAGGGCGCTTTAGTTTTGAGTCCGTCAGTTTTCTTGTGCAGTTTTATCCGAATGTCTGGTCTTACTTTTATAGAGTTCAGTGAGAATGTTTGGATTCTTTTGTCTGAAACAAGAGTCTGAGGTAAGTTTCCCTCACTGGAAGCTGAAGCGCGTCTGTGTGAGGGAGAGAAGTGCCCTGTCTTTTTAAACTCCAGACTTCTCACCCCTCCCATTGGACCCATATATCGGACCCCTTATCTCCAGCCAGCCCCCCCACACACACACACTCCCACCCACCACGGCACCCCCCTCCACCCTTGGGCCACGCAGTCGGCAGGAGCGAGTGTCAACAAAGTGAGCTTAACCCTTGTTTTTCTTCTTAATGAAAAAGTAATGGCCCGCTCGTCTTTCAAGTTAGATTTAACTTAAATTGTCTGACAAAAAAATTTTTTTTACGTCACGTCTCATTTATGGAACTTTTTAAATAAAAAATGAGAAGAAACAACGCAGAGTTGCAGTCGCAGAATTTAAATGGATGTTAACTTTTCCACATAGTAAACATTTGTTCATTCACGTCAAGCATACTTAAACATCCTGGCCAAATAAATAATTTAAAAATAAATAGGCTACATTTATTTTTCAGTAGGCTAGCATATTTTGTTTCTAAAATATGCTTAGGTTTAATTGCTTCCTGAAAGTTTTATGTAAAACTTCGTTGTACTTTTTCGAAACATTTGAATTTAATTACTAATGAAGAATAAAATTGAGAGGACTTATTAAATCGAGTGAGACAGAAATTATTGCGAGTTAAATGAATGGAAATAAAGATGCTATAATAATGAAAAGATGTGTTATAGTAAAGCAGCCCTAAAAGTTTTTGAGTTCAAAGCCTCATTTTGGAAAAAATGCGTGTAAAATAATTTAACTGCACTGACAATGTGTGTATTCTTATACCTGAACTAGCCTTCTGTTTTTCTTTATTTATTTATATTATTTTTTATGAATCACACTGTAAGTGTTAATCTTTTTATTAATTATTGCTTAAATTGGACGGTACCTGACTGTATGGCACAAATTAAACTTAATTAAATTAAACATGCAACTAAACATGCCTAAACAGGTTTCAGACAGGTTCCCAGTGAAACCAGAGCCTGGGACCAAATGATAATGTAAAAGAGGCATTGCTCTGTGATTTCCTCTCACTCAAACATTACATGAAGGTGACATTCATTCACTTCAAACACTCTGCGTCCACTGCAACACATCACTGCAGCCTCTTTAATATGAAGAAGAGATTTACATGCCCATTCAAACTCTTAACGAGAAACATAAACAGACCTGTTTCGTTCTAAATGTTGTTACATTATATTATACTTAATACAAAATTGATGAACATATTCCATGAAACTAAATTAATTAATCTATTAAATTGATATCTATTCACATATGTAATGTGGCGAACTACTGAGAAAATGACTGATTTATGCATTAAAAAAGTTTTACCCTCGTCCCTTTACCCTTTAAACAGAGCTCCTCGGATGAATCGTAAAATCCAATTAATTCAGCGAGTCTAATAAAAAAACAAAACAAAAAAAAATACATAAGCGCTCAGTGAGTGACTTTAGTGATTAGATCACATGTCAGCAAAGGATTTGGATATGTGTGAATTTAATTCTCTTTCTTGCATTTATTTGCATGGTAATAGCAGACACAAACTCGCAAAATAAACAAAAAACAAAAGGAAACGACGCATTTGACATTAACGAGTTTCTTAAGGACGCGCTGTTCACGCGTTACACCCAATGTGCAGCACCTGAAAAAAAGGCAGTTAAAGCGAAATAGCTTAGGCTGAATAGGGAGCAATTCACATTCAAAACAAACAGGAAAACTATAGGCTACACCTAATTTATACATCTGAGATGCTCTACAGACGAAGTTCTCATGAGCTCTCTGTTAAATCGGTTTTCATAAATATCTTCATCACTGTTTACACATACAAATCTTGTTTCACACACTGAACTCCATAAATTAATGTGCAATCACATTTAGGGGGATCAGTGTGTAAATCCATTAATCAAAACCTATCAGAGTGTCACTCTCCACAACACTGATGAGATCATCTGCAGATCTTCTCAGTCACTTAATGAGCCAGTGTCTTCTACTCAAGTGCTACAGGATTGTAACCATTTTGAAGGAATAATATGAATTATAGCTTATATAACACTGACAGTGTGAAGTAAATGTGTGACTGAGGACTAATGTAAAGACAACAGAGGCATGTAATGCACCTCTGACCAATTTGTTTAAATGCATCAGATTAGATAAAAAATGTGTGAATAGTGCCACTTATGGCAAAGCATACATTTGAATAAATGGATGTTCACTTTTTATTCTGAGGATACTGTCTGCACATGTCCATGGGAATAAAATCTTGTGGGATCAGAGCTTTCTAGAACACTGCATCTGTGGTATGATCTTTATTTTTTCGGTTCGTAAACATCTTTAGATTTAGATTTAGTACTGACTTTGAATAATACTAACCAAAATCTTTCAGGTGGTCTTGGTTATTAGAAATAAATGAATGTTGATATATCAAACAGACTGACACACATAGAGTTGTTTTACATACACTCTTAAAATAAAGGTTCAGATAAATAAATAAATAATAAAATAAAATATAATAAAATAATTTTTTTTGGAATTGATGGTTCCAGGAAGAACCTTTAACATCTAGGGAAGATTTCCACAGCACAAAATATTCTTTATAGTGAATAGAACATTGTTTTTTTAGATTATTAAAATGTTCTTCAGTTGTTAAGAACTGTTTCAAATTGGCTCTTCTATGGCATCACTGCAAAACTGCCTTTTGCAACCTTTATTTTTTAAATTATATACTAAAAATGCTCATCATATGTTACTAAATCAGATTCCTCATGGGAAGTGTTTTGAATATTCCTCAAAGCACCTGTTAAATGATTAATTCACTGGCTCACTGAAAAAGTACTTTAAAGGCAAGCTATAATAAGCAAAGTCATGGTTCATATTTTGGCATTATTACTCACGCCATTTATATTTGTTGGAATATTACTTGTAGTCATAAATTATCGTATGAATTTGAAGTTTGCATAAAGTCAGTGACGAGCTCCTGCTGTGCACATGAGGCGACTAGGTTGCTCTTCATGCCCCCGTAATCCTTTGCCCTGCCCCAGTCTGCCCCTCACCCCTTCCTCTGCATGTTGTTTTTGTTGGACCTCAGTGCTTCATATCGGGAGAAACTAAAACACTCCACACACACACACCCACAGCAGACAGCCTGGCAAAAACAACAGACAGTTTCCTGCTTAAATCAAGCTGGCAGGCCCTCAGATCAGACTGCGCCCTCTAGTGGATTTCTAAAAAGACAACACACACACACACACACACACACACACACACACACACACACACACACACACACACACACAGGTTGGTAGGCTGCTATCTGATTGACTGTGGAGAGATGTGGCTGCCTGCTGCTCTAATAGATCCTTTAGATAAATAAATAAATCCACACATTTCAAAAATAAAATAAACGCTGATAAGAAGCAGATGGTCAGATTAGCCAGATGACTTTCAAACACTCAGCACACACCTCTAATTGGGAGATTAGACAGATGAATTTGAGATCTTCACCAAAAAGCCCTTTGTTGTAACAAATCAAATTTTTTTAGTGAAAGCTTTGTTTGAGCGTGATTGACTCATGGACATTTTATCACATTGATAATACTGTACTCGTTCATGATTTGTGAAGCCAAACAGGAGAGGGGGTAAATGGGGGTTTAGAGGTCAAAAGTTGAATTTAATATAAAAGTGAAGCATATGAAGCATACAAACTGCCATGAAGGACACTAGAGCTTTTTTACCAAAGTAAAATGTAATAAAAAGATAATCTTGAGTTTAAGTATTGTGTTATTGAGTATGTTATTTTGGATGTCCTTTAAACCCATGGATATAAAAGTATGTACTATAGAAGCCTGTTTTCACCACAGGATAAAAAAAAACAAAACTAATTGCGACTTTTTATCTTACAATTTTGATTTATATTCTGGCAATGCTGACTTTTTTTTTTTAAATTGCAAGTTTATATATGAAAATTTTGACTTTATATCTCACAATTCTGACTCGTTTTTCTCAGATTTTATACAATTCTGACTTTATGTCTTGAAATAATATTTTTCTCAGAATTGCAAGAATGAAAGTCAGAATTGTGAGATAAAAAGTTGCAATTAACTTTTACTACCCTGTGGTGCAAACAAGCTTACATAAGATACAGTTCAAAGGTTTGGGGTCATTACATTTTTTTTTTTTTTTTTTTTTAAAGAAATTTCACATGTTTACCAAGACTGCATTTTGTTTGTTTGAAAAATATAGTACAAACAGTAATACTGAAATGTTATTACAATTTAAAATGAGTCTTTTCTATTTTTATAATAAAAATGTTATGCATTAAAATGTAATTTATTCCCATGGTGCAAAACGTACTCGGTTACTAACGTAACCTTGGTTCCCTGAGATACGGGAACGAGTACTGCGTCTGCTTAAGACGCTATGGGAAAAAGTCTTTTTTCTCCTGAACTGAAGCCTTTTTCAATCACGCAGTGAAACTGCATGGCCATTGGTTCTTGCAGTATATAAAAAATGAACCAATGGCTCGGCAGCGGAGCTGCACCCAGCAGTCCCTTATCCAACAGCTCTTGCAGGAATGACAACACCTCTGACAGATCGGAAGTAGGAGGGTCTTTGCCGCGGTTTAGACACCAAGCGGAGAATATAGACCACTTAAGGGCGTAGAGGCGTCTCATAGACGGGTCTCTAGCCTCCGAAATTGTGTTTAAGACTTGCTCTGGGAGGCTTGAAGGCTCCCGTTGAGCGGCCAGAGGTGTAGAGCCCACAGATCGGGCCGAGGGTGCCATATTGTCCCGTTCGCTTGAGAGAGATCTCGTCTCAGCAGAATGGGCCAAGGGGCCGCTAACAACAGCTGTGTCAGCTCTGATAGCCACAGCTGGTTCTTCCAGAGAGGGGCCACCAGGAGAACCTTGTGTTTTTGTTCCCTGATTCGCCTGATTACCTGTGGGATCAGGGCGATCGGGGCAAATGCATAAAGAAGGAGGTTAGGCC